AAAAAAAAAAAAAAAAATGTACTATTTCCTACTTATCACTTTTTCTTGAGGATGATGGAAACATTACTCTAGTCAATACTTAGTAAAGCAGGTGTTCTCATTCACTACTGGTGATAATTTATATTGCTTTAATCCTTTTGGAAAGCTTTTGGCATTACATGAACTAAGGGAGGAAAACCTTAGATACAAAATGTTTTATCCACAAAGGTCTTCATTATGGCCTAATTTTAATTTATAATTGCTAAAACAACTCGAATGCACAATAGGAGAACAGTATATGAACAGTGGTATATACACTAACAGAATATTAATTACTATTCTTACAAAATATCTGTAACATGAAAAATATATTTACTGTAACAGTTTGTTAAAAAGCAGGTACAACACTTTACATATAGACTAAATGTAGAAATACTATAAAACAAAAGCCATGCACTGAGAAAAGATTAATTAAAAGTAAATATAGCAAAATGTCAATGACGACTGTCTCAGCCACGTGTGGTGGTACACACCTGTAGTTTCAGTTACTATGAGGCAGAGGCAAGGAAAGAAAAAGACTATCTTGATGTATTAAAACTCTGAGCACTGAGCCAACTTTCTGCTTCTCAAAAGTTTTCAAAATTTATCATGTACATTACACTTACAATGGGAATGTGTTTGTAATGTGAGAGATCCATTCATTATTTACTAAGTACCCACTATGGACAAAACAGTGATAAATTCTGTAACATAAAAGAGGTATCAGTTAATAAAAAATTACCTATTTTGCTATGTTTTTATAAGAGTTATGTATCTAATGGAAGTAAAAGTTGCAGAGAAGGTAACTGGATGGAGAATAAGGTTTGACAGGAGATAAGAAATATAAGACCCCAAAATCTTATAAATGTCTTTGTCAATTAATTTTAATTTTTTCTAAGTGCCCATGGAGAGAAGTGCTCATGTCAGGAAACAACTAAATGTGATGTATCTTGGATTTTCTTGTTTAAGCTTTTTCCATTTTTAAGCATCAGAAAAAGAAATTTTAGCAAAAATATTTCTTAAGTAAATATCTTGTGAGGTCAACATTTTCCTGAATTTTAGTTAATGTCCTTTACTTTTAAATTATTTCTATTATCTGTGCTCACCTGTGCAGCACATATACTAAAAGTGGAATGATACAGAGAAGATTAGCATTTGAATAAATAAGTAAATAATTTCTATTATCAAAGCCATTTTAAAGACCAAAAGGATGATCCGAGATGCCCACAGTCTCTGATGATAGGTTTTGCAGTAAATGTTGATCTGTATTGATATACTGGCAAACAAAAAGAGTGACTATTAGGTTCATACTGGTTTCTTCAATATGAACCATAGCATTGGATACTCAGTAGATACCCAATAGATACATAAACATCTTTAAGTTCTCAGTATCAGTGAATCAGTTACAAAAAGAGAGCCTTAACTACCTTA